GAATTGGTCAATAATGACAAACGCATGGTTTCGAAATTACTCTATATTGTTCTACAGAGATTACTAGCGTATATATAGCAAGGGGATATTAAGCAGTACAGAAACAGGGTTTGTATTGTATTTGGATTACATGGGCTTGGAGAGAAGTGAAACAAACAATGTGAGCAAAGAAGTCTAAGGAAGTGTGGCCTGCTGTAATTGTACAGAATCAAAAACCTGAATAGTACTAATTAAAATAAGAGAGCTCAATTGTTGTAAAAGAAATGCCACTAACGGAGAACTGTAAATGTTTGGACACCCCTGGGCATCACTAAATAATAAAGTAAAAAGGACAAAAATGAGAATTCAGTTATAAGTCTGAGAGCACTACTGCTACACATCTAAAAAATAATTCTGGTCCTCTCTTTTTTTTCCGAGAGAAAATAAGAGACTGTAAAAGACTCTGCAATACGAGAAAGAAAAATACCATGGCTTAACAGCAGTGTACAGAAATAAACCATAAGAAAAAAGTGCAGATAATAATACATTTAGCTGCCCAAACATGAGCATTTAATTTCTAGAAATGATATATAATTGCAACAATTAGGTGCATGGCCATGAATCTATATCACATGGTCTTCGTCATGAGTGAACTTTGTTTATAAATGTTGTTTATGAATGCAGAAGTTTCAGTGCTCCTGGCCAAAAATACTTTCATGAGAGACAAGGACCATTTCTTACAGCTTTTAACAAAAATGTGATGCCAAAGGATTAAAAAAAAATATTATAAACAAAAAAAAGAATCAATTCTTCCTAACTACATTTAAATTCATGTTTCACATGAATAATTATAAACTTCAGACATTTGTGGCTAATGATTTTTTAAAAGCCTAGAAAACTGTTGCTATGAACAATGCTAAATGACATCGTATGTTTATGTAGTTTAAGATTTTCCTCTGAATAAACAAGCTATAATCCCTTAACTTCATTACTAGGTAAAATACTGTTTAAGAGGTGGAAAGCAAAGGAATTCTGTTAGGTTGCATAAATATTGACATAACCGTCACTCTTTCTTCTCCAAACTGGTAATAGACAAAGTATTCCCATAAAACCAAAACTACCCTTATAAACAACTTCGCTGAAGTAATGATGAAAAGAAAAGGTGCTTTTCTGGAAAATACCAACAGCACTGGCCTTTTAGGATTCTGATGCGCCTACAAACCTGTATTGGGGGATTCTCTCATTAGGAACCCTGGGGTCTGCTGAAACTAAGGCTGCCAGCATCAGAGAAATTAACACAAGTCTAATCTGGAGTCTGAAGCCAGTGAGTGACACCTAAGGTCTCGTTATAAATAGTAAAGTATGCTGTGGGGTGGGTGACAGCCTTCTGAAGTGCAATGCTCAAGACGTGAGGCTTAATATATGACTAAGTGTCAGAAGTCAGGTTTTCTGAGAATTACTTTTCAGATAAACAACTTTATAGCGCTGCACTTAATCTTACTTACTAGAGACATCTCATTTATCACTGAATTACAAGTAACTTTAATTCTATTGATATTGCCATAAAGCCCGCTGGAAATCCATCCTGGCACTTTTAAAGAGCTTGGGGCCCTATTACATGGGATCCACTTGCTCAAGTCTCTGAGACAGAATTACACTCCAAAAGGCTTCTGTGTCCCCTGTCCCCTTGGTCGACAATCCAGGGGGACCGTGGAGGAAAAATAACTCCCTCACCTGCCTGCACTGTCCTCAGCCCCTTACCTACAAGGTTGGGTTCTCCCACTGCAGTCAAACTTCCTGCGCCTCTTTCCTCCTCCCACCTTGGGAAACCAGCTTCTTTTCACTTCAACAAAACTGGACACGGATCAATTTCAACTGACCTTTGCCGAAAGGTGGCGCTGTTGAGGTAAAAACCAACTCGCTCCAACAATAGTTTTCACTCTTCGATCCTTTTGCAGGCTTTTCAGAATTTTTTTTCTTTTCTTAATGCACCCTCCTAGTGTTTCCCCCTCCCACAAAGTAAAAAAAAAAATAGCATTAATACCAAATGCATTTCATTAATTGGAAGAATCAACAGTCCCAACATCCAAGCAGGCGGGCTGGTCTTCCAAACGCTGGGTTCGCTCGCGCACTCTTGCTTTCCCCCAAATAGTAAATCTCGGCTTCTCCGACTTGCCTATCGCTTTAAAATCTTAGAAACAGAGTTGTTGGTTGTTTCCTTTTTCTTTTCTTTCCTTTTTCTTTTTCCTTCTTGCATGGGCTTTAAAAGAATCGATCTAGAAAATGGAACAATTATTAGCATCTGTAATGGGGAGGGGGAGAAGCTGCTCCCCACCCCACCCCCACTCTGGCTTTCCGGGCTTGTCCGAGAAACCTAGGTTTAAAATTTAACCCTTCGAGGGGAGCTGGGGAACGATGGGGTGTTGTTTCCCCCCCTGGTTCCTCGCCACGATCGAGTATGGAATAATTACTGAAACATAAAAGTGCAAAGGGCGCGCGGGACCCTGATAAACAGGGGTCAGATTTCATAGGGGTGAGTAAGCCTGTGTGTGTGTGTGTGTGTGTGTGTGTGTGTGTGTGTGTGTGTGTGTGTGAGAGAGAGAGAGAGAGAGAGAGAGAGAGAGAGAGAGGAAGAGAGAAAGGGAGAGAGAGAACGAATCTCAAAGGTCAAACTCCAGCCATAGTCGGAAGCCTGAGGGCTGAGCCGGGCTGACCAGACTCTGAGCTTTCCCGGAGTTAACTCGCGTAGGCGTTCGCTCCCCCCAAGGGCACGCGACGCCCGCGAGCAGCCGGTCCCCGCGCATAATGGCCCCTGAACAAGTTATTCTGCCTCCTTTAACAGAAGGTGATAAAATGGGCATTCTCTCTTCGCGGAGCCCGAACCACCGGCCAGGAGCGCGGCGGAGCAGCGTCAGGCATGCAGTCGGGACCCCTGTGCCCTCGCGCGCGGGGAAGGGGAGAGGGACAAAGAGTTGGGGCCAAGTTTAAGCTCTGGGCACAGTCAGGCTGGGGGAAGGACGATCCCCGGGGCAGACACCTGGGTGCCGAAGGTGGAGCGAGGAGGGAAGGCTGCCAGGCTAATTCACCATCCTGGGGACAGGGAGCTGGCAGGGGAGGGCAGTCAGGCCAATGCCCGCCGAGTGAGTGGCTGGTCAGCTGGGGCTCCGGAAAACAGGCCTCTTCGCGCTCCAAAGTAAATCACACCGACCTCCCTAACATCCCGGGTTCCCGCAGCCCCTCTGGAAAACTCTTCGCTCTCTTTCACCAAACTTTGCGCTCGGCTTGGCTCCCTCCGGGGGAGGTGGCGGCGCGGGAAGGGTTAAGCTCGCCCGTCCCAGCTGACAGTCAGCTGATTGGGCCCTGATTGACAGCTCCGAAAAGTTTCCTTGTTTCTATACTATTATGCTAATCGCGGCCGCTCTCGCCGCCTCTCATTGGCCCAGAGTACCAGTCAATTTCCCATCTGGGCCTGACGTCACAAGTACTATAAAACTCAGCAATTGCTTTAAACTCTTCTTGCTGGATCAGAGGCTTTAAAATCTTTTTTCATCTTCGAGCTGTAGCTCAGGCTGCTCGTCGGCTCGGCCTCCCCCCCTTTTGCTCTCTGCCTCGCCTTTCCCCAGGACTTCGCTATTTTGCTTTTTTTTTTTTTAAAAAAAAAAGGCAAGAAAGAACTCAACTCTCCCCCACCCCCTCCCTTTCCTCGAGCCCGGCTGCACCTCTGTCTTGCACTTTGCACGGAGAAAGCGCGCGAGGGAGAGAGAGAGGAAAGAAAAAAAATTAAAAGAGCCAGGCAGAAGAGGAGGCGAGAAGCATGAAGTGTTAACTCCCCCGTGCCAAGGCCCGCGCCGCTCGGACAGCCGCCCGCCGCGCCTCCAGCCCCGAGCGGCCGCTGCGCGCGCCCCCGCCTGCAGCCCGGCCGGCGAGCGAGCCCTCCTTGAAGAAGCAGAGGTGGAACCGGCGTGTGGGAACCGGGGTGGGAGGGAGAGAACGGGGGGGGGGAGTAGGGAGTGAGGGGAAGGAGGTGAATAAGTGGATCGTGTGGTGCGGGGGGAGGGGGAGGCCGGTTGAGGTTTACAGTGTTTTGTTTTTCGGTTACGACGGGAATGTGGGTGAGATGGGGGAGCGGGGGATGAAGGGGGGGATGGGAGCGAGTGGGTGTTAGGATTGGGTGTGGAGATCGTTCGAAGGGGTACACAGGTGCGGGCGAAGTGGAGTGTTGGAAATGTGTGAGAGACG